GGCCGCTGGACTTTGGGACTTGTCATTCCAGGAGAGATTGGTCAAACTTGACTTATTTCCCTTGTCTTACAGGCACTTACAGTGTAGCCTGTTCTGCACATTTCGGATGATCCGGGGCCACGGCTCCGCCCTGAGCTTGGGCGATTTCTTCGAGTTAGCCAACGCAAATCAGCTGCGTGGCTATCCACACAAGGTCACAAACGAACGCACTCAACTGGACTTCAGAAAGTTTGTCTTCCGTCAATGAGTGGCACGGCCGTAGAACTCGATACCAAGCAAGACGGTTTCCGCCGACACTATTGCTAATTCTAAAAGAAGGTTTGACGGCATTTTATTTGACGAAAGGCGACTATCACAACATTATTTCTTATTGCCAGCATTGTAAACCATTCTCCAGGCTCTATTTTGTTTTCATACTGTTTCGCACTGTCCCGTGACAACACACTCGATATACTCACTTTATATTGACTGTAACAATCATAAGGTTCCTTTACAGTAATAGGGTCCTCAAAGCTATTCCTTGACTTTAACACTTCAAAAATACATATAGCAATCAATAACCTAGATCTCCACGTAGTTCTCACAACCTCTGGAAATGTTAATCCCGCAGAACCAGAATGCATAGCCAATTTCTGCTGAGTGTGTTGTAATTCGAATTCTAGGGTAAATTATTCAAACTATTTCTACTTGATCGGTCAGCCCAACCGAGAGGAACACATCTGTCTAGCGCATATTGCTGTTATACCCACAGGTACACCGGACTTACCGATGTAACATGAGGATTTATTGTCATCAAAGCAGGTTCTTAAACCTCCCCTGTTGCGTGATTTTTGCTTTTGGTCTAAATTCAAGTTCATTTTCGACAGGTAAGAGGTAGCCTGCCAGCCTCTGAAAAGCTCTGCAGGTTCCGGAGTGTTAGCCTTACCTTTGGTCTATGTACTCTGAGGTCTGATGTGGTTTTGCGTGCATTAGTTCAAGGGAAACATAAAATCGTACTCCTCTTGATTTCACCAATCGAATTTTTAGCTTTTAGCCAATGCTTACTTTTCAAACCTGGAACTTCCTAGATTTTCTATTCTGCTTACGTGGACTATGTTGACAAAATCAATAGTCTTAGCCTCCGGTATATTGAACAGGGTTGTGGTGTCTGATTGAGGCATACATTTCGCCTCTGCCTTTTCCAATTAGCTGCCAGTTCGTTGCATTCTGACCGCGCCCACAAATTTCAACTTAATAGTTTATTTCGATACATGAAATGTGACACCAAACTACTTAAGCCTTAAAGCCAAACCTCAACCTGGTCATCTTCAGAGACGTATCTGATTTCTTCGTTTTTTACAACCGCGGGCTATTTCTCTGCATTTGGATCACTCCCCTCGTTGGTAACTTGCGTCTATCTACGCTATGGTTCGTAGATCCAAGTGCCCTTTAATTTGATATCTGCTTCCATTATTTATATTTTTAAAGGTCTTCATGGTCGTGGGAGACTACCATGGAATACTTTTTTGCAAAATTGGAAAGTTTTCTCTCATCTCAGAACATACAAAGGTTGGGGCGCTACGTTGTGTCCTATGATCCATTTTATCCAATAGCTAATGGTTTCGCCGATTGTTAATTTATATTCATTCGCCTTCTTAAGTTACGTAGTCAGTGCTAAGTCATCTTTTTTGTGTCGTAAATGCAAACTTTCAGGTATGCTTGCGCGCCAGTATACTCGCTTCTCTCTTTAGGTATAGGTGAGTTAGAGCGGTTAGTATAATTTGAATGTAACAGAATAAGTTTATTTTTCAGTCTAGAAACAAGATTGAGCGGGGATTGGCCATTCTCTTGTAGGATAGCCACAAAAATCGAAACCTACTTTCCACACTGTAATATCTTGTTGTATTATATTTGTCAGTAGCCTAGCAGAAAGCCTGTAGTTTACATTCGAATGTGGGAATAAAGTTGTCTTGATGTGAATATCCGGCCCTAGAATAATGTGTCTGCCGAAGTAGAGTTTGGCCGAATATTCAGTGTTTAATTAGTGAGGAGGTTTAATGAACGAGATATCTTTAGCATTTCCGGAGTCTAAAATCAGACTATGTGACTACATAAGACTATGTTCTGATTTATTTAATCAGAGTTTGTAGCTAAAATAAAGCGGTCATGTTCTTGTAAACTTGTTATTGAAATCAATTTCGGGTACGAGCGCAAATAAGGGGGAAAGGAGCCCTTGGTTTGGGCGAAATAACGTTGTCCAGTTTCCGAGGTAGATAATATCATATTCATTTTTGCGGTTAGTGTATTCGCAAGCGTGGATTTTTTATGCCGCGCGCGGTTTCAATCGAACTGAGGTCGATAACTCAACGCTTTCAGGACGAAACTACAGGCCTTTTCTTAGTATGACCCCTGTAGCACCCATCCAGACAGAACTCGAGCCGGCCACCTCTTCTTTATGCAAATATCCAGCCCATTTTGCGGAAGCTAGGCGTGTATGGCACATGTAAACGAACTTTTTGGCTTTGTCAACCACTGCACCTCCGGTCGTCCTGACGTAGTCTCGTCGGGTTCGGAGAAGTAAGGGAGAAGAGAAAGACAAACTATGCGACTGTGCGCCTGTCATACTGTAGGGCACACGATAGGCATCTTTCGGCATGGTTCAAATATCATCCTTCGACACTTTGTCAGGTGAATAAAATTCTTGCTTCAGCGACCACATCTTTTCTATCAACTTTTATCTCCGGCAAGTTCTACCGAGGTAATTATAGTTGTTTATTTGCCGCAAGAGCCTGGCTCGTACAGTTTTCGCCTTCTCGGGTGAGCAGTGGGCTTTGTTTCTTATCCGGTTTTGTCTTTTTTATGTCTTCCCTCTCCTTAACTGTTCTTTTTTTCTTTTTCCTCCTGATTAATTGAAAAATGCACTAGAATCTGCCCTCTGTTGTACTTAAGGCTGTGTTCTTATTTCTTAAAGGCGCACTAAATATCGCAGCTGGATTTGGTTTTCAGCGTTAAGGGCCCGTTTTATTAATTCCTTTCTTCTGTTTTAGATTGCCACGTGTCCTTGTGAAGTAGAAATGCTTTTGCCCGCGGACGATTTTCAGGAACAGTCGCTGGCGGTAGTTCAAGCATTTGTCCATGTAGCTGTCGTGAACCGCTATCACAAGAAGGTTCTTGACGGCATAATTGAATACCCCGATGTTCCAAAGTCCCTGTCCTCTGGTCCTGAGATCGTGGATTGTATTGTCCAGCTGGTGGACGAGTTTGAGAAGAGATGTCAAGGTGCGGGCTTTCAGACTCAAGTCAAGACCATGGGTCTAACCGAAAAGGGAGCGATGGACAGCAAACAATTACTCTTATCTTATGCTGAAGTCCTCGATAGTCTCTTTTGCACTATCAATTGGGGTCGCGTCATCGCCATGTTTGCTTTCTTGAGGATGATGGTCTATCATCTGCTTGACCACAACGCACCTGATACGATCAGTGAACTCATACGTTGTACCACGTCTGTCATTGAACATCGCCTCAGGTTCTTCATCATAAGCAAGGATGGATGGGTAAGTCTTATTTTCACCTTTCTATATTTGGATTCGGAGTCCATCTTCTCCGGATTTACTATATCCCGACAAAAGTGTTTTAATGGCTGCTTTCCAAGTCTAAACCTGTTCACGAAAGCTCTAGTCTGACCGTGCAATCATCCTTGCTAATCACTGCTGGCAGGTATATTATCAATAAATGGTGTAATGCATTGTTTGGTTGTCGAGAGCTCAGTCTTTTCAGCATTCCCAGCATATTGTTAAGTGCATGTCATACAGTCTGGCCTCCGAGTGGTTCCTTGATGGTTCCGTGACTTCTGGTATAGTCGCGTTTTTTAACCTGTTATGTTAGTCCCGAGCTTTAGGCTCATTTTATACATAAATCGACTGTTTGTCGGGTATCACAAATGAATGTGAGCGTAAACTAGTTTAAACTTAATTCAATAGTATCCTTTTCAATAGGAAGCTTATTATGTGCGCGAGTAATTATTTCTTTTACCTAGTAAATGACCTTAAGAGGAAATCAGCCACTTCATCCAGTCGACTCACAATTTGTTAGGACAGACATCCTTTTACATGGACTTGGTCATCTTGACTTATTGCATTTCCAGGTCGCTGTCCAAATTACGATAGCTCAAAATGTAGTCCATTGCTGCTGGATGTGCCAAGTTGTCATTCCTATATGCCGACTGCTACGGTGTTAGTCTATGGTCCGTTGTCCTTATTGAAGTCTTTCGACGGTAATAATTGCCTGTCCAGGCGTCATTGCCTTTACGTTATTTGTTCAGTTTTTAAGCAGCAATTTTCAAGTAACCGTCGAGCTCCCAATCACTCCAAATTTTCTCGCGTGCTTTATACTTAAGATTTTTCATCCCTGACAGAATCTTTTTGTATCCTTACCGACGCTCCGTAGCCGCCTGCCTAACATTACCTTGTAAATATGCAGTTATAACAGTGTGTCTTCTTACTTCCATCCCAATTTAGTCGGGAATTCTCTCCTTCAAGTCGTCCGGTGGTGACGTACTTGACATAAAACAGACCTTATTACGTGGACTCGGGGGCATTGCGAGTGTAGCCGGAGTGGCTGCTGTCGTAGGCTTCATCGCCAGTCGACTGTAAAGGACACTGTAAATGTTCGCACCCCAACCTACCCACTGTCCTTTACAACTCCGCCGCCGCCACCTACCAGCAAAAGCATTTCCACCCTTCTCATCAGCGCCCAGCGGGTGGCCGCAGTCACAATGTGGTCATTGCGCCACTGCCATCTCATGATGCTTTTAATTTCAGTAGTGCAATCCATTTCCAGTCTTCAAGTCGTGTTGTTGTGACACGCGGACGCATTGCTGTTATTGACTTTGAATTTGTAAATTCGTATTTTACACCGTTTCCCCCAGCCCAATTTTTACGGAGGAAATGGACTTGCACTTTCTGCCCGTCCTCATTTTTGTGCCTCCACACCTGTAACCATGTAAATTAGTACCTTTTCCCGTGCTCCACTCTAAGCTACCGCACGCATTTATGCGAGTGTTGTTTAAGACCCGGCAGGCGTTGTTTCGCCCTCCCTTTATTTGTACTTTTACCTTTCCCCTCTGTCTATACGCCTTAACGCATGGCTCTCCTTTCTATTTCGTCTGATTTCGTGCTTCTTCGCTTTCGCGTTGTCGTGACGAAAGTGGGAGCGTTCATGTGTCCTTTAGTATCCCCTCCTGGGTGTGCCTCTTTACTTATTTCTCCTTCATCATCCCGGTCGACTGCTCGGTCAACAAAACCTGACCTCGGTTAAGTTACTTCCTCCCCTCTCTTACTCTCTGACGGGTAACGAAGTTCAAGGGTGGTGGGGGGGGCGGCCGTTCTTCCCGTTTGTTGCTTAGTGAAGACCAAAGGGGTGCCTAAGTCTGTAGAGGGAATTTGATCCTCTTCTGACCTCTGATTTGTGTCGCCCAACATGTGTAGACGAAGAGCTTTATTGGTCTGCCGCTTTTCTGTTGGTGACTATACTAAAATACATCCCAACTATCCTCATTTACGTCGCGCTGTGCGAGTTCAAAACGCTATTCACCTTTTCACTAGTTTTCTGGGTTTTGATGGATGGATGGATAGATCATCAGGCAGATGATTCTACTTTTTTCCGACTTCTCCTTAGATTTGGATTCAATCAGCACACGCGCTTTTAGGATGACCGCTCGGACTAGTAAAGATGTCTTACAGCAATTCTAGGTGTGGTGAAAGCGGATGTCCCAGATTCAAGGCCGTTTCTTGGTTTCTGTGTGGTATCGTCATAAGATCTTGCCGAATATGCAGTTAGTTCGTCCTCACGGTGCCATGAGGAGACTAATAAGTTTCCACTTGTTCGAGGTCTTTGTCCTGCACGAAAATCTGCCAACTGGATGCTGCTATCGTTTCCTTACTGTAGTCCACGCCCTGACGTTGAGTAACCACTGAGGGCGTTAACCAACGCCATACATGTGGTTTTCCGTACATAGTCTTGAAGATCAACCCATAACTCTTCTGATGGACGGAAGCAAAGGGCGTAAATTTTTGGCTACGCAGTTGCTCGTGACTGATGACTACGTTTCTAGGCCGGCTGTATTCGCAGCGCTTGATTGCCATTGCTTGTAGGGCATTGCCTCACTCACCGGGATGCCCGCATGCGGATCTCCTCCTGTCGATTTTTCTTTGACGCGTATTAATTGATGTAAAGGTCATCTGCGGCTCCACACACATTTCAGATTTTCCTAACTAGGGGATGGATTGAAATGTACCGCTGGGTGATATAAGAGTTAGGAGGTGGAAGAAAAGGAATCTACACTGAACCTATTTCATCCCCTCCAAACACGCCTGTGCTTTGGATTTTTGTAAGGCATTTTGCAGTAATATACACATGTTTCACCAGAAATGGTCCTTTCAGTGTCCCTTGTCTTTGTCGCCACTATTATTTGCCCATACTACCAGCTGCTACGGCTGTCAGAACTTCTGTCGCGGCTCAAGACAGAGCGAGACAGGTAAGTTTCGCTAGCGTTGGGTGAACGTTCATCCAGGGGGAAGGACAGTTTGCAATGGCCAGAAGCAGCTCAGTTTTCCCAACAGCCGGCTCTAGTGCGAAACAAAACTCATACCATCAACGATAAGTTGTAATCCCGCGATTACAAGTCCTATATAACAGAAGGTTTCGTCACTCTCCAGGACTCTTAGACTATGCACAGTACTGTCGAGTGCGTTGCACGAAGGAGATTAAGGTCTACATTAATCTAGTTATTATGCCCGTAGACAAGAGGAATTCCAATGTCCTGCCGGATAGGACAGACCACCTACAGGAGAGTAGCCAATTCCGTACACAGTAGATCCAACCCTGCTAAAGCGCTGATACACCAACTTAAACTGGTATGTTTGACATTGCATAAGTCAGCTGTAATATCACTGGTTAAAAGACACACGAGGAAGATTCAAGAAAAGATAGTTGTCTGATCTTTTGGCCTCCTCAAGATTCACAAAGAAGTGTTCCCTTCGGGCACATCAGTAAGTTCACTGGTTTTTGGACTCGCGGTTCTGCAAAGTCATTGGCCTTCCACCATCCAAGACCAAATTTGCGGGCCGGGTGTGTGGACGATACCCTCTTCAAACGAACTAGAAGTTGGCCTTAGACGCCGAGGTTGACTGAGCACGTGAAAGCAGTGACGGGGAGAGGTGTCAGCTGTATTATCGGAGTTTAGTTGACGGGACCCGACTACAAATTCAGGGCTTACAAGGCCTAGTTTCTTGCAGGAGGGTGGCAACTGCATAAGCCACGAGCAGCTTGAATCGTGGTTTTCGGTCCGCATTTCGTAAACTAACGCGATGACCTCACCTTCTCCCTTTTTGGTTCTATCACCTCATTTGAACAGGATAAGTGGTCAGGCTGGAGGGCAAAGACGCACACTGTTTCCAGTAACGCAATTGACTTGCCAGTTTTTTGAACTATTATAAGGCAATCCCCACAATTGGTGATTGAGGTTTGGCCATTTACGACTCGGATACTGGTGATTAAGTAATCCTCGTACCAAATACGATCAGCGTGGAAGCCGCTAATGATAATGTGTATATGTTGACACCGTGACTGCCTCCTCTAATTACTGCAACCATTAGGCGTCCGCTCCATCTTACCGTTGTCATCACCACTGATGGGTTCAATTGTGAATCCGAAGGCTTATAAATATATACTTGCTGTCTTTACGCTCTCGCCCCTTCTTCTAAGACGGGTTGACCTCTAATACTTTTACACGTATGAGGTCTGTGCCAACCAACTTCTTGCTTGTGTTTGGGGGGACCAGGTCGTGTGCGTAGTACACACACTCATTATGCCAGCCACTGCACCCAGTCCCCGCACCATTCAGCAGACCGGAGGGGAAAAAAGAAAGGGAAGACGGCGGCTCAGCACATTCCACTTACTATAAACCACCTGACGCTCTTGAAGCTATCACGGTGCGCTTAGAAGCCATGGCTTGAAAGACTGCCAACTGACGGGAAAACTTGGACTGCGCGGTCAGCACAGTGTGTGTTTGTGTGGAATGGCGGACGGAGGTTCAAGCGGCATTGGCTCCTTCTCAATGTGGCCTACAGGGCACTCCTCTGCAGCGGGATCCGGGCCGGTGTGGTGGCACTTTTAGATGCGGGTTACCATCGCACCTGCGCCTGTAACGGTCTCTGAAGTCCGACGCCTTC